AGCCCTGTGGCCAGCCCCTCCCCAAGCCCTGTGGCCAGCCCCTCCCCCAGCCCTGTGGCCAGCCCAGCCCCTCCCAGCCCTGTCGGCCAGCCCCTCCCCAGCCCTGTGGCCAGCCCCTCCCCAAGCCCTGTGGCCAGCCCTTCCCCCAGCCCTGTGGCTAGCCCCTCTCCCAGCCCCAGCCCCTCTCCCAGCCCATCGGCTACGCCCAGCCCATCGCCTTCACCCAGCGCTACGCCCAGCCCATCCGCATCGCCCAGCCCGACCCCATCACCCGGCTCATGTACCAATGTGGCACCGCCAGATGGGTACAGCTGCGCCCAGCGCGTCATTTGGGGCCAGTGCAAGTGAGTAGGGGAGGGTGACCGCCGTGATGTATGTGCAGGCCTACGGCGACTGGCATTCATGGCAAGCCTTCCACACTGAACTGGAGGAACTCCTTCTTATCTCATGTCATTACCCTGCCTCACTAAACATATGGTCCCCTCCCCCCTCCCCCCCCCTTCTTCCCACCCAGTCAAACCTGGATGATTGAGGGGAACTACTGCGCCAGGTCGTGCAAATACTGCACCACCAGCCCATCTCCAAGCCCAGGCTCGTCTCCCAGTCCAACCCCGTCCCCCAGCCCGCCACCGACCACCTCGCCCAGCCCCTCCCCTGTCCCGTCACCCAGTCCTTCGCCGAGCCCATCACCCAGCCCAGCGGCATCCTGTGTCAACGTGGTACCACCAGACGGGTACAGCTGTGCCCAGCACGTCATCTGGGGCCATTGCAGGTAACCTGGGGCAGAGATGGGCCGTGGCAAAGTCCGCCAAGTTGTGAGCGGGGCGCACGCTGGTTGGGGCTAGGCTGCCTGCAGGATCACTGTGCGTGCCTCCATGTCCTGTCCAAGCTGCAGCTGGTTGCACCATCGATGCACATACCATCTCGCCCATTGGGCCCCCCTCCCCACACCCTGCTCGCAGCCAAACCTGGATGATCGAGGGGAACTACTGTGCCAGGTCATGCAAATACTGCAGCACCACCTCGCCGTCGCCTTCTCCCTCACCCAGCCCCCCCGCCTCGGCCTCCACTGCTGCGCGGTTGTCACCCTGCACGGATAACCCTACTCCAGATGGGTACAGCTGCGCCCAGCAATCAGGATGGGGCAAGTGCAGGTGAGGAATTGGCGAATGGGTCGAAGGGGTGTTGGGTCTTTGCTGGCTTGGCCCTGTCTGGTGCCCCTGTCACCAGCACCCCCACCTTGTGACAAGAGCCGGCTCTCGTCATCCTCGTAGCGCGACATGGATGCTGGATGGGAACTACTGCGCCATGACTTGCGGCCGATGCACGACGCCCTGTACGGACAACCCGACCCCCGATGGATATACCTGTGCCCAGCAATCAGGATGGGGCAAATGCAGGTGACGATCGGAAATTTCTTGAATAGAGGTTTGTCTGCACTGCCCTGCTTCTCTACTTTGTTGGGTGGTTTTGCCACTGGGATCTGCAGTCTCAGGCAGGCACCCATCCTCGCTGCTCCCTGCAGTGCTGCCTGGCTGCTGGATGGGGACTACTGCGCACAGACCTGTGGCCGATGCACGCAGCCGTGCACAGACGTGCCCCCTTCCGCTGAGTACACCTGCGCTCAGCAAGCGGGCTGGGGCAAATGCAGGTGGGTCGGGAACCCGAGCATGGTGGCAGCGGTGCCGTGGTGCCCTTGGCAGGGACTGCCGCAGGAGCAGGGCGCTGGTGCGAGTCTCTCCCTACTGTGCCCGCTTCCTCTCACACACCTCTCACACCCCTCCCCTAACACCCAGTGAGTCATTCATGACGAGCGGCAACTACTGCCAGATAACCTGCGGCCGGTGCCCCACAGCCAGTCCCTCCGCCGCCGCAAACTCTATCCTGGCGGGCTCGGTCTCGGAGCAGTCGCCTTCACCCTCTGCCTTCGCAGCACCGTCGCCCGTCGCGTTCGGGCCTCCGCCATCGCTGGAGGAGGACAGCGTCGACTTCTTCGAGGACGAGCCGCCCCAGCTCATCAGCCAGCGGTTGTCAGCACCCCTTGCTCCTGTCAGCCAGCTGCCACCTGCGGAGGAGGAGGACACTGATGCCTTCCTGCCGCCTGTGGCGCCTATCACTCTCACCGAGCAGTCTCCGGCAGCCGTCCCCGACGAGGTCCTTGGCGGGTTTGAGGAGGACGACGAGTCAGACCTCTTCATGGAGGACGAGCCGTTGGGGCCCATGGCCGAGGCCGTGACAGGGTTGGAGGTGGTGGCGATGCCCCCCGTGCTGACCGGCACCTGGCCCTCCCCGGCGCCTGCCGGCGGCGCAGCCGGCGCCCCGGCCTCCGAGGACCAGCCGGAGGTCGAGGAGGGCTTCAGCATCGACAGTGTGGTAGTGCCCTCCCCGCCCCTCACCCAGACCCAGGTCATCATCAACAGCCAGGTGCCGGAGGCCGCCTCCCCGCCCGCCAACGCGTCGCAGGCAAGCGGCACCGGCTGCGCCAGCGACACGCCGCCCCCGGGCCTGTCCTGCCAGGACGTCAAGTTCCAGGGGCTATGCATGACACCGGCCATCCTGGACGCCGGCCTCTGCTCCATCACCTGCGGCTTCTGCGCCCCCAGCCCCAACCCCCCTGCCCCCCATGGTCCCCACCGCCGGCAACGATTCGGTGGTCACAGACTCGGCGCGGTCCCCCACCTTGGTGTCCTCGGCGCTGAACCGCGCCGTCATCAGCCCCGGCTGCGTCGACGTCGCGCCGCCCGGCTACGCCTCCTGCGACGTGAGCGCTGAGTGGTGGATGATTTTTTGTGAAGGATGGAGGGGAGGACCTGGGTGAGGGAGGATGATGCATGCATGCAATGTATGTGTGTGCAAGTGAGCCCTCGGCAGCCTTCGTTTGGTGCACCCACAGCCACACCCCTGATCCCTGGGCATCCCAAACCAAACCCACACCTGCGCCGCCCTGTCCATCCAATCGCAGGCCTTCCTGACCGGCTACTCTTGCGATGCCAATGAGCTGGTGGACGGCACCTACTGCCAGCTCAGCTGCCAGCGATGCGTGGTGACAGACTCCCGCGCCCCCGGCGCGGGGCCGGTGCTGCCGCCCGGCAGCTCCGGCCTGTCTGGGCGCAAACTGAGGATGTGACATCCTCCCCGGGCCCCGTTCCCCACATGCCATTGCCCCACCCGTGTCCTCGCTGTATTGCAGCTTGTGCATGCTCCATACCGAGCATGCTCCCCGCTTTGACTTCGTTGCTGCTGCTGCTGCCGCCTGCGCCTCAACCTAGAGCGTCGCGCCCTCAGAGACGAAACTGCCCGTCCAAACACTTTTTTATTCACTGTTCGTGTGAACAAATGCAAGGACACTGGAGGGCATTGGGAGTGAGGGGGCTCTGGGAGACTGACCTCCTGTGTGAAGAGGTCCTACATGGACATTGAGGATCTCGGGGCCCGAAACCCGTGACAGACGAAACCCTGGATGGAAAACACGCCCTGCAGGGACGAGCCTCACTGCCTCCTAGATCGTGCCGCGGAGAGAAGGCGCAAGGGACTGAGCTTCACCCTGACCCAGGGGTCCTATTCGCGCGGCCATGTGGGAGTTCTGGTGAGAGTCGGGGTGGCTGTGGCACAGGGTGCTCCCTTTCGGACCCTTGCTGCATCATCCCAATTCCCTGCGACATGACCATAATGTTGTCCACAGGAACGAGAAGGCGGCGAGCGAGAAGGCTGGCGCCCGGCTGGGCAATCGCACGGGGTCCACTCCCACCCTGTCTGCCAAGAACAAGGGTGGGTGCAGGGAGGCCCCGGCATGATCCGGTGCGCTCTTCCTGTGGAAGGACCCGCACTGGATGTCAGATGTGTCATTCAGTGCATGCAGCCCTTCACTGCCACGGCTGCAGATGGGCCTGCAGGCGAAGAGACGTCGGCGGAGTCGCCCACGCACATCATCTTCAAGGACCTGAAGCTCCTGGCCGATCACAACTATGAGTCTGGTGGGTGTGCGGGGGACAGATGGTTGCAGTCCAGGGGCCAGTCATGGGTGGCAGGCCGCTGAACGTTGTTTGGCATGAGCAGGCCGAAAGCTTGTGAAGCACGCAGGTGCAGGGATGCAGACCCCCCTGCTCGGATCGTGCATGCCTTGCTGCTTGGCACATCAACCACAGACACACTCACCCCCCTTCAAGTCATTTCTGTCCCCAGAAGAGGAAGGCACCCAGGATCAGGATGTCTCACCTGGAGGCTCGATCAAGATCACAGGATCGTCTGGGGGAAAGGTAAGACTGGACCTCTCACGTGAACGCTCACTGGCCTGTGCGGAGCGCTCTTGGCAGGCTGCACTCTGCAGAGGGTTGTGCCTGTGCACCAGTCAGCAGCCGCCCATAGCTCATGCTTGCACCACCTGCCGAGGATGCTCCCCTCCCAACTTCTGCATCCACTCCCTGCCTGCTCCAGCCGCGACTGAAGAGGGTGGACCGCCAGAAGCTGATTGTGATCTTGGTTGGACTGCCCGCTCGTGGCAAGACCTTTCTGTGCAACAAGCTCATGTGCTACCTGAACTGGTGCGTGCTAGTGGGGGTCTGTGAGGGGGTGGTTACTGCGGTGTCAGATTTCGGGTGTGTGTTCGGCCTGTTCCGTCCCCTCCTTTCTCCCAATCTCGCCCAGCGCCACAGCTCATGCCGCACTGGGCCCCGCAGGCTGGGCCACCCAACCCGCCACTTCAACGTCGGCATGTACCGCCGCAACGCGGCCGACCAGGAGGAGAAGCACGACGCCGCCTTCTTTGACCCCGGCAACGCCAAGGGGCAGGAGGTGCGGCACAGGGCGCTGCTGGCGGCCCTGGACGACATGGAGGCCTGGCTCGCAACAGGTGCGTGGCGAGGGAGGGGGGGAGTGGGCATATTTTGCCTCGAGCGTTGTTAGGATCGTCGAGCCAGGGGCTGTTTGGCCACGGGGAGTAATTTTCCCAGTGAGGCCGGCGCTGAGTGCCGGAGTTCTGCTGACGCGCTGTGCTTTGGGCTGCAATGGGATGACCTGCACTCGATTCAGTCTCCCTAGGAGCTCCTCACTCGCCCTCTGAGCTCTCGACCCCTGCCCGGGCCCCGTGACTCCACGCAGACAGCGCGCAGGTGGCGGTCATCGACGCCACCAACACGACTGAGGAGCGACGGGAGGAGCTGAAGTGCCGCTTCCATGGCACTTGGCAGTACCTGTTCATCGAGTCCATCTGCAACGATGAAGTGGTGAGGGGCGGCGTGGGTGGGCCTGGCTGATGCTGTGACGGTGGTGGTGGCTTAGACAGAGTGTTAGTCGGTGCGGAGCGCATGGCTGGCCTTCAAGTTTGTCCATCGATCCCAGCCCGACTACCTGAAGCACTGCCCCATGCCACCCCCCACCGACCATCCTGGCCATCCGTCTTTGACAGGTCCTGCACCAGAACTACAAGTGGAAGATGCTGTACAGCCCTGACTACAAGAACATGGATCCAAAGGAGGCCTGGGAGGTGGGCAGTGGGTGTAGATGGGTGGATGGGCTTGGAGACCATGCCGAGCATGTCAGGGCATGGAGATCTGGTGCTCAGGTCTCGGAGCCGCAGTGATGCAACATGTTGGGCCTGGAGCATGCATGTCCCCGGCCTCGTCAGCCCACTGCCCCAGCCGTCTTGCACCCACACAGGACTTCACTGCTCGGATCAAGAAGTACGAGGCGATATACGAAACCATCACAGACCGCCGCCTGCACTACATCAAGCTCATAGACATGGTCACAGGTGGGGAAGGGATCGGCGGCGGGGGAGGAGTGCAATGTGGCAGGCTTGGGGCGCAGGTATCCATTCTCATGGACAAGCCGCCTGGTGCGACAGGTGCCACCGCCAACCCGAGCTCCCAGACGCTCGATCCAACGCCAGTTGCTAGATCCAGCGCCATGCACTCAGGCCCACCCAGAAGCTCACTCCCACAGGCTCCTCCACAATCCCACCATGCAGGCAAGGGGTACATGGACGTGAACCGTATCTCCGGCTACATTCCGGGCAAGATGGTCTTCTTCCTCATGCAGGTGGGGTGTGGCCATTGCAGCAGTGGTGGTATCGGATGAGGGGATGATCTTGAAGCCGGGCATTCTTGAGTGGCCACCTTGCCCAATCCCCTACCCTCCTCATCCATCGGACCCCCAGGTTTGCAAGGGCCTGGGCCAGCGCCGCCGCATCTGGCTCACGCGGCATGGGGAGTCGGAGTACAACACCATGGGCAAGATCGGAGGAAACAGCGGCCTGAGCCTGAGGTACGGGGAAAGAAAGGTACTGGGTGTTTTCCAGCAGGGCAAAAGCCGGCTGTGTGGCTGGGGCGTCACTCCTTGAGTGCTTTCAATGTTCTGGGTCAAGGGCTCCCTCATGAAGAAGAACCGCCCATGTCTCGGTGTCACATGTGCATGTTTTGATCACCCGCATCTTTCATCCCGCCTCCGTCCAACACACATCCGGGGCGGGGAACCGACCCCAACCGCAGACTGGCCTTCTTATGGGTATTGTATATTGCCATGACATCCCTTGGAGCGACCCCCCCCCAAAAGACCTGGCCACCCGCCCCTCCACACACATTCCACGGTCACCCCCCTCCAACCACCCCCTTTCGTCCACCCCGCCGCACTCATACAGGGGCCAGGTGTATGCGCGCCTGCTGCCCCAGATCCTGATGGACAGGGTGGTGCCGCTGGCGGGGTCGGCGCCGCCGCCTGTGGCGGTGTGGACCTCCACCCTGGCGCGCACCATCATCACCGCCTCAGGGCTGCCCTTCCCCAAGGTGCAGTGGAAGGCGTTGGACGAGATCCAGGCGGGGATCTGCGAGGGCATGACGTACCGCGAGATCGCGGCGCGGCTGCCCGGCGAGTACGAGCTGCGCCGGCGCGACAAGCTGCGCTACCGCTACCCCTCTGGCGAGTCGTACATGGACGTCATCCAGCGCCTGGACCCGGTGATCAGCGAGGTGGAGCGGGAGCGGGAGTGCGTGTGCATCGTGGCGCACCAGGCCGTCCTGCGCGCGCTGTACGGATACTTCATGAACAGGCCGCTGGCGGAGGTGCCCAGCCTGAACATCCCGCTGCACACCATCATGGAGCTGACGCCGCAGCCCGACGGCACCATGGCCGAGACGCGGTTCGAGGTGGACGTGGACCTCGCCGCGGCGAGGGAGGGGCTGGCGGGTGATGGCGGCGGGGAAAAGGGCGGCGACCACCAGAAGGCTGCCCGCGGCATGCCGCGCTCCGCCTCCCTCGCCGAGCTGCGCGCCAAGTCCTTTGTGCGTCAGCTCGATGCGTTTGGCAGGCTCAGCTCCGACTCCGACGACCCGGGCAGGCTCATGCCCTGACAGCGCCCAAGGGTGTGGGACAGTCAGCCCTAACCCCCTTCTTGCCCTCTGAACCGAGGTATGAAACCCCTCGGCCCTCGAGATACTGCACTTGGTACTCCATCTTTTATTTTTTCCTGTGAAAGAGGCAATCCGGGCCTGAACCACTGCCCCTGGCCCCGGATCCATGCAAGAAAAGTTCATGGAAATCCCCCCTCGACGACAAGTGTCTGATCCCATGCCCTCGAGCTTGACAGCCTCTTGCTGTGAGGAGTCCTTTTGAGCCGGGCACACCCCTTCCTGCCCTGCCTCCTGCCAGGAGAAGGCCCCCCCTCCCTCCTCCAGCCACTGCATGGCCATTTCAGCCAGGGAGAGGCCAGAGGTGTGAGGTACAGCATGAAAAATGGGACATCGGTCCAGCACTACACAGCCTGGTGACACACGGGAGGAGGCCGCATCCACGCGCCCTTCATCCCAGGCGGGCCAGGACCCGCTGGATGGCGGCTCGCATGGCGTCCACCGACAGCCCCGTGGTCACGCGGATCTCCTGCACATCACGCCCTGCCCGGGCCACGAGGTTGAAGCCGCCCGGCACGGGCCGGCGCGTCATCCACAGCTCCAGGTCCTGCCCCGGGGGTGGGGGGAATAGCGGGGGGGAGGTAAGCAATGGAGGGATTCCCAATCTCAGGCCCTATGAACCTGCCTAGGAAGGCCCAGGCAACCCTGCCAGGGCCCCGCCCCTGCCTGCCCACTGGTACCCACCTGGGACACAGTTTGGAGCTCGGAGGTTTCCCTGCCCAGCTCCACCTTGTCCACGCCCTCCTCCTCCATCAGCGCATCCAGCAGGGGCTGCAAGCCCTGCGACATCCCCACCCCGCTCCCAAACCGCACGTAGTTGTTGAACTGCACCATTGTTGGGTGGTTGGGGAGGGGGGTTTTTGTCCTTGTGCACCACTTGCACCGTTAGCCCCAGACTGTGCACTGTCAGGCATGCAAACTCAGGACAATTTGTTATCCCTCCAACCCGTTTCTATGACACAGTCTACCCACGCTGCTGTTCAGGGGCATGACATGGTCCAGGGTCTCCTTGAGGGGGTCCTGCTGCAGGGCCCGCAGCGACGCCACCAGCTGCGCGAGGTGAGCAGGGGAGCGCGTGTGGAGAAGATGGCTGAGCAACATGCGGGGTGGCGCTTGGATGCAGAAATGGCCCAGGCACAAGCAGAACGATATGGCACCAGTACCTCAGAAACACATGAGAGGCTGTGGCATCCTGGCAGCCTGCAAGGTGGAGCGGCGGCCCCCACCGTCATACCCTCTAGACCACTCCAAGCCATCTCCCACCCTCGCCCACGTCCCACCTTGGTCTTGGGGGGTGGCGCCACGATCTGCACCATGACCTTGACCTGCTGGCCCAGGGTCAAGTACTTGTTCACGTCTGATACCCAGTCCCAGGAGATCTCAGAGGTGGGCACAAACACCTATTTGTTATTTAGGAGGGGCAGGAGGGGGGAAGAGGGCCTGACAGGAACCTCTGGATTGCTCCTCCTCTGGGTACCGATGGGAAGGGTCCCCTTGTCCAGGCACAGGCAGGGCAGCCACATTGCTACCTCCATTCCCTCTTTCCACAACAGCCCCCTCACCTGGCCCTGCTGCCCCGACGGCGCCTGCACCTCCACAAAGGCGCCGAATCGGTGGATGGATCGCACCAGGCCATCCAGCACCTGGCCAACGTAGAGCACATCCGACAGAATGTCGCGCTCGGCTGCGGTACAGGAGCAGACCACGCGCCGCTCAGACTTTGCAACCTGGAGGCATGGGGAGGCGGAAGGTGCTGAGAAGGGGAATCAAGATCAGCTAGCCTGCCCTGACGGTGCACTGAGCGGGTCATCTCTGCTCGCGCTTTTCCAAGCCGTGCGCCCCCCCGCGTGTCGATCAGCAGCTTCCTGTGAGTGAGCTTGCATGCGCAGGCGCGCACATGCCTGCCTCCACCCGCCGCTCACCTCCATTACTCGGACGGTGATGGTCTTATTGATCAGGTAGGGGAAGGGCTCCTCGCCAAACTCTCCCCGGTTGGCGCGAGCATCCAGATCTGGCTCCGACACGATGGCGTTGCCCAGCAGGGCATAGGGCACGAATCCCTGCCGCGTAGAAGGGGGGATACACATGGTGAAGTAGACCGTACAGCACAGGTCTGGCGGCAGGCTCATTGTGCAGTGACACGCCCAATGGTGCATTCAGCCACCTCAGGAGGTCTCTAAGAACCGCATGACATGCCACATGCCCCACTCTTTCATCAAACAGCGGGTATTCACCCACCCTGAGGCCTTCAATGCGGATGAGGCACCCAGACTTGATGGTCTGCACGATAGTGACCTCCTGCAGGCGGCCCGTCCTCCGCATGAGGTCAACCCGCTCCCATGCAGCATCCCGAGCCGCCACCTTGGCACGTTCATTCTCCCGCTCCAGCTGAGGTGAGCAGAGGGCAGCAGATGGCTGGGGGATCGCTGATCATTCGAAGCTGGTGCAAGTGCCCCAGGCAAGCACACCTAGCACACACTGAAGAAAACCTCTCATGTGCCAGCCCTACATTATTGCGCTCGTCCACTTCCAAACGCCCCATCCAGACCTTTCACAACAACTCCTTCTCACCCGCTCAAGCCCAGCGTCGTCTGCCCCATCCACGCCGTCCTCCGGTGTGACATCCGGCGATACCGAGGCCGTCTCAGGCCCAGATCTCATGCTGATGGAGTCGACGCTTCTCGTGGCCCATGCCGCCCAGGGTCCCCCCGCCCATGGCTTAGAGGGGGCGCAGGAGCGTCTCGTGTGTCCCACCGATACAAATGGCTGCGTGACCGGTGGGTGAGTCGCTGAGATGATGCTGCAGCACAGCACGGCATGCCCAAAGCTTACATGAAGCCCTGGTCCCCATCCAGATACAGGCTCTCACCCTGAAGGCCTGTGCCAAGGGTCGGTATACTGCCTTCGCCCTGCATGCCCCACTCAGGTGCTGGCATGCAGGCCCTGTGGTGAGCAGGGCACCGGTGCCGCCCATGGTCCCTGTCTTCCGTGGCTCACTCACTCCCGCAGTCACGTACGCACGAGTAACCGCCACTCAAGATACTCAGTGCAAACTTGATGTGCCGGAGGTCTGCACGTGTGGGCTGCAACGCTATCATTCCCTCCTCCACTCGTCCACGATTCTCCGGTCGATATGGATGCAGGTTGCTGCGCGTGCTGCGCCCCGGCCATCCATCGGGGTTGGTGCACCGCGAGCGAGCCCATGTCAATCTGGCAGGCCGGGGCCTAGACCCCAGCCCCGGACCACAGGCTGCCCAGCATTCCCAACCTCGCCGCTCGACCGGAAAGCGGGATCGTTGCGCATACCAGCACTAGCCCGCACGCCCCGGGATGGCGTCAGCCTTGGTGGGGTCGCAGGTGTCGAGGCCCTGCTCCTCCCCCTGCTCCCTGCGGCCTGCTTCGATCCCCCGCTCCCTCAACCCCATCCCTCGCCATGTACTTCTCAAAGGTGATGTCGGGGTGCGTGGATCTCCGTGGACCGCGCGCCGGTGCGCCACCAGCTTCCTACGACCCCCTGCCCCCGATCTGGACCCACCCCGACCCTCAATCTGTCACCCGCGCAGGCCCCGGGCCCCTGAACCGCGCCTCCACCCGGACGGCGGCCGCCAAGAAGGAGCTGATGATGTGGGAGTCCCTGCGCGAGGCGCTGGACGAGGAGATGGAGCGCGACCCCACGGTCTGCCTGATGGGCGAGGACGTGGGCCACTATGGCGGCTCCTACAAGGTCTCCTACGGCCTGCACAAGAAGTACGGCGACATGCGCCTGCTGGACACCCCCATCTGCGAGAACGGGTTCATGGGCATGGGTGTGGGCGCGGCGATGACGGGGCTGCGCCCCATCGTGGAGGGCATGAACATGGGCTTCCTGCTCCTGGCATTCAACCAGATCTCCAACAACTGCGGCATGCTGCACTACACCAGCGGCGGCCAGTTCAAGGTGCCCATGGTCATCCGCGGGCCCGGGGGCGTGGGGCGGCAGCTGGGCGCGGAGCACTCCCAGCGCCTGGAGAGCTACTTCCAGAGCATCCCGGGGGTGCAGCTCGTGGCGGTGTCCACCGCCAAGAACGCCAAGGCCCTGCTCAAGGCCGCCATCCGCTCCGACAACCCCATCATCTTCTTCGAGCACGTGCTGCTGTACAACGTCAAGGGCGAGGTGGAGGGCCCCGAATACACCCAGTGCCTGGAGCGCGCCGAGATAGTTCGCGAGGGCACTGACGTGTCCATCTTCTGCTACTCGCGCATGCGCTACGTGGTGATGCAGGCGGTGAAGCAGCTGGAGAAGGAGGGGTACAACCCGGAGGTGGTGGACCTCATCTCCCTCAAGCCCTTCGACATGCAGACCATCAGCCGGTCGGTCAAGAAGACGCGCCGCGCCATCATCGTGGAGGAGTGCATGAAGACCGGCGGCATCGGCGCCTCCCTCTCCGCGGTCATCCACGAGTCGCTGTTCAACGACCTGGACCACGAGGTGGTGCGCCTCTCCTCCCAGGACGTGCCCACCGCCTACGCCTACGAGCTGGAGGCGGCCACCATCGTGCAGCCGGAGAAGGTCGTGGCGGCGGTGCACAGGGTGGTCGGCGCGCCCGCCGGCGTGGCCTACGCCTAGGAGCGCGGCGTGCTGCTGTGGGCGAGGCTGGAGCGCCATCCGCAGGATGGAAGGCGGGCGGCTGGCTGGCGAGATTGCTGGGCCCTCTCCCATCCGAGGACCAGGCCCTTGCCAAGTCAGGAGGCTGATCCCTGACTGGCAACGCCCTGCCCTCGCACGTCCACTGCCCTCCCGTCGCGGCTGCAGAGCGTCATGGCCATCCCTTCAGCTGGATACTGCCTCCGCCACCGGCGCGGCATGTACTCCAGCTCATCAGACCGCTCCCAGAACACACTCCCCTTTGAGATTGGTGGGGAGGATCTTTGGGTTGCGATGCCAGACCCTTCCCCCTGGGCCTGCCTTGCATGTCGTACCAACTTCTTAAGGTGCACTGTGGACAGTACACACTGGATAGATGAACATGCCTTCATCTGTGTGATTTTGCGAACACCAAGCTGAAAGGGGCGCTGCGGAGATTTGGTCAGGGCTCAGGGAGGCGATGGCCCTTGCGAGTCCTGCCATGATCAAAGAGAAGGGGTGCACGATGCATTCGCTGGGTGGAGGGCTGTTTCAGTGGGTGCAGGGTCCGTTGGATGCTGAGTCGGGGGCATTCTCTACGCCGCTGCTGGATCAAGGGGGGAGGGGGGCAGGGTGCGTTCGTGCAAGATTTGTTCAGAGCCCCAAGCTGGGGCAGGCTAGAAGCCAAGACGCTCCAGGAAGGCGGTGACGGAGGAGTGGACTCGAGACCTGCAGTGCAGCGGCGGGGAAGGAGAGGAGGGCTTGGGACACATGTGCATCATGGCTGGGCTGGAAACAAGGGGCTCTCAGAGAAGCAGCCCGCTTGCGTCGGCACACGCGGAAGCAGCCCTTTTGTATATTTCTAAAAAGCTGGGGCTCTGCGACATGCCCACACCTGTCTTCGTCGGAGCCGAGGTAGCGCGCCACAAACCAGGCGGTGGTCAGGAAGCCGATCAGCTGGAAGAGGGTGCTGATCTGTCGGGCGAGTGCAGGGAGGCAGCCTGAGTTTCGAGGTGTGCTTCGTGAGGCCATTCATCAACGGCACTAAGTAGTGCATGCAGCTTTACAAGATCCACAGCAGGCAAGCTCGCTGGTTGCCAAGCATGGCTCGGTACCCAGATACCCGGAACAGTAGGGCAAGGGGGACTTACCCCGGGCAGCGCATCGATCCGCTCCACCACGCCAGACAGGATGTACAGGGCCAGCAGGGAGGCAGCGCCCGCGGCCATGACGGTGGGCTTGTCCCTAGTGGCCTCCCACTTGCTCTGCAGGACGGATCGAGGGCGACTGTGGATCCAGGGGGGGGCATGATGCCGACAGCTGGGTCATGGCTGTGCGACTGAAGCGAGCTAGGCAGCCATCACACCTCGAGCATCTGCTGCCCAGGAACATGAACAATGCAGATTCCGGTGTTCCCTGCTCTCGGATTCGTGAAGGCGATTCTCCCCAGCACACCTTGGCGGCCTCCAGGGCCTCCTCCGCTTTGCCGGAAAAGGTGCCTGCAAAGTCCTCGGTCTGCAGCTTGGCGGACTCCAAGAGCTTCGCGCCCTGCTGCTTGGACTCCTCCACGCTCCTGGACACGTCTTCTGTCTTGAAAGCGCGCGCGGTGGTGCGAGAGGCCGGGATAGGGCGGGGAAGTGTGTGACGCGCCAGGGCCGTCCTCCTTCATGGGGGGAAGGGATGAGAGGGGTGATCAGGCACCATTCGGTGGCGGTGGCAATGCTTGAATGTAATGTTTAATGTATAGCATCAGAGTGATCGGACCCAGTTTGATTCAGTCCTGAGTGTAAATATTCTTCCCTCCCTATGCCACACACTGGAGGGTGACGCGGCTGCCAAGCACGAGCGTGGACGCCATGGCAGGAGATTTGAACGAGACTCGAGGAGGAGTTTGCAAGGGCTTCTGGTGGTGGGATCGATCAACGACCGCCGCTTGCCCAGGTTGTATATTTGAATCTGTGATTTCAGTGTCGAAATTGTGCGCGACAACCTGGCGTCGCTCTTTCTAATCACCACGCCGGCACCAGGGGAACTTGAGTACAACATGGCACACCAACATGGCGTCTTTCCTCGCTGCCGGTTGGCAGACATGTGAAGGAGAATCACTTTGCTGCTGGATGATTTTCTATCGGACCACCTTCAGTCAAGCACCCACTGGCGTGACGGCTGTTCCCCGGCCTGCTCGCCTACAGTGCGTGCAGGCGTCGGCCTTTCAAGCCCGCAGACGACCTGCGGGGGCTGAAAAGAAACCTGAAGCTCCCCCTGTGAGTGATAAGAGGCAATCCAAGCCTCCGCCAGTCGATCGGCGGCGCATCGGGAAGGACGCCCCAAATGCTCCTAGCGGTCTCCAGCGCCTGAACAAGGTGAGGGCGACCATGTTAGTATATCCCTCTTGCTCAGCATCACGAGCAAGTTCTGTATCGCGAACCCCATGCGCGTTTCACCAAACCAATCTGGTCTTTCACATTCTATCAGGCCATCTCCACGGCCGGAGTATGCTCCCGACGAGCGGCCGATGAACTGATCTTCGAGGGCCACGTCAAGATCAATGGCGTTGCAGTGCACGAGCCAGGGACTCGGGTGGACCTCGGCAAAGACAAGGTACTGGGGTGGTCGTATTTTGAAACGGTTGGAGGGAGGGGAGCACAGGGTTCACGCCGTGGGGAAGATTGTGAATGGGAGGGATCTGCCCAGCTTTCTGCACACCTGCCTCGTTACGAAGCGCAAGCGAGTGTGATAAATTCCGACAACGGTGCATGGAAAGGTTGGATTTGCTGCATCCAGCTGTGCCTGAGCGTGCTCCCTCCTCCTCGCACCACCTCAGGTCATCGTCAAGGGAAAGGCGCTCACTCCCCAGATCGCGTCGCGGCGCTTCTACTTTGCCATCAACAAGCCCAAGGGGTACATCTGCAGCAGCCTGGCAACCGCCCCAAACCCGCGGCCAGAGCGCCTTGTCACCTCGCTGCTCGACCCATGGTTGAGGGAGTGGCGGGCGCGCGCCCCTGCCGCCGTGCTTCCCCCTCGCTTCTTCACCGTCGGCCGCCTGGACGCACAGTCCGTGGGCCTCATCTTTGTCACTAACGACGGCGAGTGGGCGCAGAGGTGAGAGTGGGTGAGGCGCCGGGGGTAAAGGCGAATGCCACCCACGTTGACTTTCTGTGCATTGGCGATGTAGTAGCTCAGCCCTGGGGGCCATTCCCAACCCTGCGCTGCGTGTGTGTCGGTCGTCGAGGATGAGGACATTGAACCAAACCACTGAGTGGGTAACACCACCCTGCGGATCTTTCAAAACGAGCTTTTTAAACCTGAGACGCACCGAACACACACACACTGCTTTTATTTGAGCGTCAGCTGCCCTGACCTTGGCACGCCGTGCCTTGCCTTGGCCTGTGGCCCTGACTAACCGAATCGTCACTCCCGAGATCATCCCCCCTTCCCTGTTTCACTGCCAGCCAGGGCTGCACCCCCCCCACATCCCTCCCCGCGCCCCCGCACAGGGTCATGCACCCCTCATCAAACCTCACCAAGGAGTACTGCGTGACCCTGGAGTCGCGGCCCCGCCTGCCCGACCTGCAGCGGCTGGCGGCGGGGGCGGCCATGGAGGACGGCACCTGGGTCACGCCCGTGTCCGTCACGCTGGACGACAGCGTCGCCTCCAAGCCCAACCGCGTGCGCATCGTGGTGGCGGAGGGCCGGAACCGCGAGGTGCGGAACCTGGTTGCGGCGGCGGGGCTCACGCTGCGCACGCTGCGCCGCACGCGCATCGGCGGCTACCGCCTGGACCCAGGCGTGCCCTTCGGCGCGGTGCGAGAGCTCAGCGTGCGCGACACGCGCCGAGTCCTGGACCGCGGCGCCCAGGACCGGGCCTGAGCGCGGTTTTGTACCTGTTTTGCGCTCCATTGACGGAGGTTTTGACGACGTCTCGAGGGGTGGGCGCCCATGGCCTTTCCGCAAGGAGTTTCTCATTCATCCGAGTGGCACCCCTCTGCTTGCTCCGCCCCTCTTGCGCTTGCTGCGAGTCTTGTTACTCACCCTCTGCCTGCTACCGCTGCCGTGCTTGCCTCCACAGCAGGTTTTTCGCCCCGTTCCCTGCTGGACCCCTTGCTCGCATTCCTGTTGTCGGCCTCGCCTCTCAACCCCTCGACCACCATTCCTCGACTGCAAACCATTCATTCTGCCAGGCATGACGCCCTGCATATGCCAGGCAGACCAGCAACCGAGCGCAACAATGGCTGGTAATGAAGCAGAGCACATGGCCCCGCGCGAAGCATTCAGCGCCGTAGCCAGGCTCACGCGCCCAGCAGCGCCCGCCCCCGGTCTGCGATGTCGGCCGGCTCGGCCATGGCCCCCGTGCCGTCGTCCCCGCACGCCAGCCGCTTGGCGATGGGGCCGATGCTGTGCATGCCCAGGCCGGCACAGGCGTGCATGTGCCGAGCGGTGAAGGGGCTGTCCCACATCAAGGTGTTCATGGCCGGCGCCAGCTTCATAGGGCGGTGGGGTGAGGGCATTGGCATTCTCTTGTGGGTGGCAAGGACGCGCCTGCCAAGCTTGTGAATGAGCGACTCATTCATCAGGTGATCGAAGAACAGAACAGGTCACCTTGGGTTGATGTGCAGGGGCTCCCATCACAAGGATGGCCCCCATTCCAGCCCAACACCCAACACAAACGCACCAGGACCGGCTTGCGAAAGTCCCAGGCCCGCGCGACGCAAGTGACGAGGTTGTCGCAGAGGCCGGCGGCCAGCTTGGCCAGCGTGTTGGCGGAGAGCGGGGCGATGATTAGTACGTCGGCCCAGCGCCGCAGCTCGATGTGGAGGACCGGGTCGCCCACGCCATGCCAGGCCCGCCACTCGCCCTCATCGTCCAGGAGCGGCAGGCAACTGCCGGGGAGCTCCAGGCCCTCCAGGAAGGCCCTGGCCCCGCGCGTCACCGCCACTTTAACCTCCGCAAAGGCCAGCAGATATGTCGCCAGCTGCGCGGTCTTGATGGCGGCCACGCTGCCGGTAACTGCCAGCAGCACCCGGGGCCGGCGCGCCGGCGGAGGGGTGGGATCTCCCGTTCTGTTTGGTCCGGGCGGCGCTTCGGCGGCGGGCTCAACGGGGGCATGCGAGGGGATGCTTTGCACCTGTGTTGGCCCAGCACTTGCGTTCCAAAGCTCGTCCTTGTCAGCTTGTGCATCCTCCAATCCCTCGTTTCCCGCAGCAGACGGACTTTGTGGCGGCGTCGCGCCTGCCACAGGCCTCGCGGCGGCAGCGCCGACGTCGTCGGTCTCCCCTTTCTCAGCACCAGACCCCGCCACATAGGCGTCCAGCACAGAGGAACGATGCATGGTCACGTCTCGGCGTGCTGGCTCCTCACGCCGTAGCCGGGCGTCGCAGCCCCAGTCCCGATCTTGACCTCCAGGCGCTCGCGCTCGGCCCTGGCCTTCTCAAAGTTGCGTGCTCTGCGTCAGGCAGGTTGAGGATGAGTACTCAAGCGCCGACAGTGCTTGGCCATTTACGTTCCTGGCTACGCCGCGCTGACAGAATGAGTGACCGTAGGGTCCAAGTATGCCAAGGAAGTGTGCATGACGATGGCGCACGACGAAGACTGCATCCCACGGCGGAGCTGCATCATAAAGAGTCTGCCATACGTCATACCCAGACACCGACCTGTTGTCCTTCTTCTCCTGGCGGAAGCAGGCGTCCAGAGCAAGCTTCTGATCTGTGCACACGCCCCAGAACTTGGCAATGCTCCTCTCCTTGTGGCAGCGGTTGAGCGCGTCAATGACCTATAAGATGTGAAGATGAGATTGCCTTGAAGATGTTTCCAGCAGAGAGTGTCGCGCCACCAAGGCTGCCGATGTTGCTCACACCCTGCGAGCAGTGCATGGTGTCGGACAGTCGTCACCGGGCCCGGGAAGAACCCACCGAGGCTCCACAGCAAGAACTTGTCATCTTCCCACCTCAATGCAAGAAGGATGCTTGTTCTTGTAGAGAGGAGGGTGCATCGCGGACACCGATGAGCGAGAGACCCGCCGCAGTAACCTGCCGGACGGACGTTTCACGGATTCGAGACCAGGTTGTCAAGGCTTCTGACTCGCACTGGTTAATCCGGAAAGCTATACGTGGTAAAGCCTAAACGAATTACCTGGATGCATTCTAACTGTCCCGCATCGCTCCGATTTGGGTGACGTGACTCCATGTGTGCTTAATTCAGGGAGCTTGGGCCTCGCCCGGCCTCATTCTCCAATTAGTCACTTTACAGTTTGGGATTGTTTCCCCAACCTTTGATCTTTCCCGCAATGGCCAGCATCCCTGCTTAGCAAAGGTCAATCTGTCCAATCTCATGAACATACAGCAACCTTCTGGACACCAACGATAGAGCTGAGATGCTGGATTGTGAATCTATAGCAGTCAGTTTAGAGCGCCTTCCAGTGCTCTGTGATACATGAGTGTGGTCATGAGTACACCATCTGTTGGAAAAGGGTTGGGGTGGGGTGGATTCGCTTCCTTGCAGTACGTCAAGTTCTCGTAGGGCCTGAGTTTGTCAAGCAGCGACTTCTACACTGCCATCAGCGGTGTCGCAGCGTATGCTTTCTCGACTTGGGACCGCGGAGGCACTCCATAGAGGGTTGTCCTCTGCCGTGGCACTCGACCTTGAAGTAGGTTGGAGTGGCAAGCATCAGACGGGCGCACTCGAGTGAGATCCGCGACTCCTAAGATGCAATGCTGCCCCACCCTGCAATCTTCCCAAACATGGCATGCAACTCTACCTTGTCTGCCGGTTCAATGCTGTGTGCACACAAAACAGACACAAGGATGCAAAAATCATTCGCCTTCCTGCTTCCCCAGCTATTTGCCTATGTTTCCTCCACCGTCCCCCCGGCAACATACCTGCTGTGCGGATGAGATCATCCATGGCTTGTGGGCCCAGCTCCTGCCCATGGGAGGCGCCGGCCGCCCTGCTGATGGACTCGTTCATCAGCACCCCTCCCATGTCGTTGCAGCCGGCCCTCAGCAGGCCCGCAGCCTCAGACGGGCCCATCTTCACCCAACTACGCATCAGGGAAGGTTGGGGAAGGGTGACAAGAATGCCGATCCCACCCCCGGAGCTTCGTCAGCAGGCATCCTTGACAGGCAAAGCCGCAATGCAGCAATGGGTGCATGCTGCGGAAGTTGCTCAATTGTTTCAGTGGGCAATCGGTCCTCAACCTCGCAACACCCTCATCCTCTCAGCCCCCCCAATCCGTATGGGGCTGCTCAAGGGCAAGACCGCACCTATGATTTCCAGAAATGGAACACCCACCCACACTCCACCCACACCTGGCCTGGATGCTGGGGATGCACCCGTCTGCAAAGACGAGGCGCGAAACAGCGTGCAGGAGCGTGCACTCGTGCAGGGTGGGGCCCCGCCGCGCTTGACCCCGGCGGTACAGCGGCGCCTCCATGTGCACAAAGGGCAGGGGCACGAACTCTGTGACCAGGCGGCTGCGCGCGGCGAGCGAGCGCAGGCGCAGCAGGTGCCGGGCCCAGCTCTCGGGGCCCTCCACCGATCCAAACATGATGGTGGAGGTGGTGGGGAGGCCTGCGTCGTGCGCTGCCGCCGCAACCTCCAGCCACTCCTCCGTGCTGAGCTTGTCGGGGCAGATGGCCGCCCGCACTGGCGCGTCCAGCACCTCTGCCGCCGTGCCCGGCAGGGAGCCCAGACCTGCCGACTTGAGTGCGGACAGGTAGCGGGGCAGGGACATGTCCAGCGTGCTTGCCCCGTGCCAGACCTCCAGCGGGCTGGCAAGAGGGTAGAAAGGAAGAAAGGTGCGGGAGAGGTTAAAGGCGGGAAGTGTGCAGGAACTTGGGTAGGCAAGGGTGAGGAGCTATGGCAGAATGCAGCCTCACTCTTACCATTGCACACCCTGCGCACTTCGTGGCCATGCATGACCAACAATACTATTGGTGCTGGTATACGACAGCGCTGGGAAGCATTGAGGCCAACATAGAGAGCAGCGACAGGCCCAGACCAACCCCTGCACCCTTGTCCACTCCCCACCTGAAGGCGTGAACGTGGATATTGGGCGCGGCGCTCTTGGCGGCCTCCAGCAGGCCGAGGTAGGTGTTCCCGTCAAAGTCATGGTGGATGCCTCCCTTTTCATGTGGGGGAGGGGGGAGTGTGGGGGTGTGGACAGGGTGATTCTGGATGCACAACTGGCAGACGCAAAGCTATAGCCTTGCAAAAAGATAGAGCCTGATCAGAACTGGGAGCAATCAAGCCAAGGCCAGGCTTGCCTTAGGATCGCACATATCCTCCTGGCATCCGCCCAACCACGCCACCACTTCACGTTGCCCTACGCTCCGATAATCCGCAGAGAAACCACGGATTCCCTCTCCCCCCCTTGAAATATCCCCCCCTTTGGGGCCAACCCTGAGCCTGCAGCACCCACCTGCATGCAGACCTCCGAGGCTCCTCGAGCCCACGCCTCGGCAACCCGCCGCCCAACCTCAGCCTTCGTCAGGAGGTATGGGCTTCCCCTTGCATCGGACGGTCCCTTGGAGAAGGCACAAAAGCCGCAGGCATACGCGCAGAGGTTGGTGTAGTTGATGTTGCGGTTCACCACGTAGGTGACCTCGTCGCCATGCAGCCGCCGGCGCACGTTGTCGGCCGCCGCGCAGACCGCCTCGAAGTCGGCCCCACGCGCGCCCAGCAGGAGCCGCACCTCCGCCTCTGCCGGGGCGTATTGCCCACTTGCCAGCGCCACTGCGAGCTCTGTCAGTGCATTACTGGCCCGTTCAGGCCGGGGCATGGCTTCGAGCGCCCCATCTCGGCACAGGGACACCCGCCAGGCGGCGCTTCTTGTGGTAGGGCTGGGCACATGCGCATGCGTTGCTCTGTTGCTGTGTTGAACAGAGGGCGCAGCATCGTCCACATCCGTGCGCCCGGCTTCCACCCCTTCCATTGACTCCTCCCGGTCCTTGGCATCTTGGCCTGGCCACCAACTGCTCCCCCGGCTCAGCCCTGAGGCGTCCGAGGCCCGGAGGACGGCCGCCAGCGGGCTTCCCGCGCCGCGCCGCCCGTCCAGCCACCGCCCGCGCTGGTCCAGGGTGGAGTGCGAGGGGTAGACGGGGAGGCGCGGGAGCAGCAGCTTGCCTTCGGCGGCGGTGGCCCGCGCCAGCGAGGCCAAGTGCGGCCACGCCTTCTCGGGGTTCACCCAGTCGCGCGTGAGCGGGCTGACCCCGCCCCAGTCGTTGACCCCGGCACGGAGCAGCGCCTCCCACTCCCCCTCGCCCCCCGCCGCCAGGTTGGGCGGCGACTGCACGCTCATCCCCGGTTCGAACATGAGGCGCGCCGCCGCGACCGCCCAGAGCGTGTAGGCCCTGTCCGGCGGAGGCGTGCGCGCCATGCCCGTGCCGGGCTTGGGCACGAAGGGCTGCAGGATCAGCTCCTGGACGTGCCCGTGCCGGCGGTGCAGCGCGCGCAGCGCGCGCAACGCGTCGACCGTGTCCGCCCTCCCCTCCCCGATGCCCAGCAGCAGGCCTGTGGTGAAGGGCACACCGCGTTCGCCGGCCTCCTCGATGCAGCGCAGGCGCGCGGTGGGGTCCTTGTCCGGGCAGTCGTGGTGGGGGCCGCCCGGCGCCGCCAGCGCTGGGGCCGTGCCCTCCAGCATCAGCCCCTGGCTGGCGGATACGGCGCGCAGGGCCGACAGCGCGGGCCCAGCCACGACCCCGGCGTTGACGTGGGGAAGCAGGGGCGTGGCGCGCAGCACCTCCCCCGCCGCCGCGGTCACATAAGACAGCGTGGAGGCGTGGCCCAGCTCCGCCAGCTCGCATGCCGCCTCGGGGTACCGCGCCTCGGGCCTGTCGCCCAACGTGAAGAGGGCCTCGGTGCAGCCGACAGCGGCGCCGGCGCGCGCCAGGCCGACGACCTCTTCCGGGGTCATGTAGCAGCGTGCGCCAGGACGGGGCGGCGCGGCAAAGGTGCAATAGGCGCAGGAGTCGCGGCAGAGACGGGTGAGGGGCAGGAAGACCTTGGGGCTGAAGGTGACGACGCAGCCGTGGGCCTCGTCGCGCTTCAGCGCCGCCGCCTCGCACAGTGTTGCCAGGGGGGTGGATGTCAGCACGTGCATCAGGTCCTGGAGTTGGAGAGGAGGGGTGGGAAGGGCGCCGGTGTGGGGCACATGGTGTGGGCTTGCATCTGCATGCAGCATAAAAATGCATAGATTATTCCCGGGGATTCAAGCATTGTCGCGCGCCGCCCAACCCCCAACTCTCAGCACCTCGGTGCTGTCGATGTCCTCCAGCTCATGCATCAGTCGTGTTGCGGCCATGCTCGGGCATGCCCGAGGCAGAGCCGGGGATCGGGCTCTGCATCGCCGGCTGCTTGCAGACCGGTGGAGGGGCCGGGAGACGCCAACCCCCAAGCGATCACTGCGCGATGCCCGCATCGCCTGCACGTCTCGCACTAGAAAATTACAGATCTACAAGTCCTGACTACATCTGCCATGCTCCTGTCGGGATCATCGAGCATGGCTGCATGAGTAGGATCTCCTGCTCTGTGGCCACCGTTTAAAAGATCGCCGCTGCTGGGAAGGGCCTGACATTCCTGTACTTCGAGAGGGTCCCGTGATGGATGGGCTTCGTGAGCGGACCTCTGATACTCGCATGGAAGGATGGTTGACTCTTAGGTCGCATTTTCCTGGCTCTTCCCTGTTTTGGCTGTGGGGTACCAAGCAATGATGGGGCACGACCTGCACAGCTGGACAACAGCGTGGGTATACTGTTGTTCCACCCCACACATGAGCACGACTTTAAGGGTGGTAAGGATGGACAGGTGCCCAATGCAGGCATCTGGCCAGGCCCATTGAGAAGTACTTGCACATACTCTATCTGTAAGAGTTGCGGTCCATCACCTGGTGATTGTCCTTGGAGAGTGGAGGGCGCACGACTGCTCAGGCAGGTGCTCAGCCCACATGATCATCCCATGCTCGGTGTGCTGAGTGGTCCAGCCTGCATTCAACCCCTCGGCAAATTTGACAGCGGGAGGACTCCGATGAGCAGGCATGGAGTGGGGACCCTTTACCGTCTCCCAACAAGACGGTCTCAGGTGAGCAGTGGGACCAAGCTTTGCAGTCAGGGATGGGGAAAATCAAGAATGAGACCATACCCTTGGAGAATCAATAGCCATGACGAGATGACAGCATGTTTGCTTAGGATGACCAGGTGGGACCTAGAATAATCCCTGGGCGACAAAAGAAGCAGCTTCTCAGACATCAGTGATACCTGTGGGCAGTGGCGTCAAGGAGGGGGGCTGGGGGAAAGGGCCCCTCGTCTGTGTGCCTCTGGCATGTGGGAAGATGGTGCTGCCCATAGGTATACCCTAGGGTAGGGCAGCCCGCAGTCGATGGACACCTCAGACACGCGACCGCTTCGCCTCGACGTTGTAGTCGGGGACGACGCCGCCCGCCTCCTCGCCGGCCTGCTCCGGGACCAGGCCGTACCTGCAGAAAGAATGAAAGATGGCTTGGCTGAGACTCCAGGAGGACGGGTTTGGGGGGAGGGCAGGGCTCCCCGGGTCCCCGGAACAGGCAAGGGACGCCCTTGAAGGAGCACATTCCGACCTCCAGTGCGCAGGGGCCTCCCACAGGGGGCCGCCACTGAGCCTTGCGCCACCCTCCAGCTCCACAACCACTCCTCCCGTTGAAATAACAGGTGCCAAGCCCTGCCCAGCAAGCACACAGCCAGTGCTTTCCCTCGCCCCACCACCTGCACAGTTCCCCCTTTCCCGCATCCCCACCCAAAACCCAGCAAAACGCACTTGCTGGCGGCGTCCGCCTCCGGCACGGTCTGCTGCGTCATGAGGTCCCCCAGCTCCGCGGTTCCCAGGCTCAGCGACACCAGGCGCGTGGGCATCAGTTGGTCCTCCTCGCGCCCGCCCAGGCCCAGCACCCCCGACGCGCCGCGCCCCCAGACGTACACCTCGCCCTCCCGCGTCACGGCGATGGAGTGCCGCCAGCCGGCCTGCACACTGCGCACGCTGCACCCCTCCAGCTCGCCCCTGATGCGGCAGGGCCGGGAGCAGTCCTGGATGCCGTCCAGGCCCAGCTGGCCGAAGCGGTTCCAGCCCCAGGCGAAGACCTCGTGCTGGGGGCCGGCGATGACCAGCGTGTGCCGCCAGCCGCCGCTGACGGAGTGCACGGCGCTGGTGGAGAGGGACGACACCAGGCTCGGCCGGCTCTGGTTCCTGGGTTGAGGGGAGGTAGGGGTTCTTGGTGGTGGGAAATGGAGAGGGAGCATGCCATCTCATTGCCCCGGGGATGGACCTCCTGCAAGGGGATCAGACTTCCACACCCTGGCCCTCGACCCGATCCCCTTCAGCACCTCGTCAATCAACCTTGGCCTCCCACGCCCCACTCCCATCCTCCACCCTCCCCACGCCGCGCTCACTCGTGGTTGCCCAGGCCCAGCTGGCCGTACTTGTTCCAGCCCCAGGTGTACAGCCGCCCCTCGGCATCCACGGCCGCAGTGTGCCGCCAGCCGCAGCAGGCGGTGGTGATGGTGGGGGCACCCGGAACCTCCACGTGCACCGGCAGCCGGTGGTCCAACTCGTTTCCGAGGCCTTGATTGATTAAAGAGAAGGTGGAAGGGGGTGGAGGGTGAGGGGGGGGGAAACTCACATTGGGACTCCACTTCCTCAGCAGCCCACGGATCGACTGCTGCCCTAGAATGGTCCGGGCCTCGCCCCCCGGGTCCCCTTCCTTCCCCCACAACCCCTCACCTAGGTTCCCGTACTTGCCCCAGCCCCAGACGTAGAGCTGCCCCCCCTCCACCACCGCCAGGGAGTGCTCGCCGCCGCAGGACACCTGGCGCACGTGCTTGCCTTCCAGCGCCGCGACGCGCGTCGGCTCCAGCGCGTCGTACTGGGAGGGGATGCCAAGCTGCCCTGCCTGGTTCCGGCCAAAGGCATACACCGCGCCGTCCACGGTGAGTGCTAGGGTGTGCATGTCGCCGCAGGCCACCTGGGCCAGGGTCAACCCGGACAGGCCCCGGATGGGTTTGGGCGTCCACACGTCGTCGGCCTGGGCATGGCCCAGGCGCCCAAAGTCGCCCCAGCCCCAGCTGTAGGTCTCGCGGCGCGAGCTGGAGGAGGCCACGCAGTGGTCGCCGCCGCAGGACACCAGGTCCACGTCCTTGCCCATAAGGGCGAGGACGACCTGGGGCGCGTCGCGCTCGCGCGTGTCGCCGTGCCCCAGCTGCCCATCATCGCCCGAGCCCCAGGTGGCCACGATGCGGCCGATCTCGGAGTCTGATAGGGGGTAGAGAGGGGTAGGGGTGAGGTGGAAAGAGGGAAGTTCCGGGGCCAAGAGCACAGCACATGCTCAGGGCTCGTGATCTGCGACCTGGCACTGTGGAGTGGGTGACCATCCTTCCCCCTTCCTTGATCCACCGGTAGCAAGATAACCGGGATCAGGACACACCCAACTCCCCTCTGACAAACATCACTCGCGTACCCACTCACCCAGCACGGCAATAGCGTGCCCATTCCCACACGCGACAGCCAATATCTCCGGACTGGACGGCTTCGACCGGTCGGACATCAGGCAGGGCGCCCCGATACTCTGGCGACCCTGGAGTGCTCTACACCCCTCGATGGTGGATCAGGTGTGAGGGCTTGGAGGAGCGGTGTTAATAATCCAACCCCACTCGGTGCAGGGTTTCAGAGACTCAGAGACCCCGGGCTCCCTTCAGCTCATATGCCTGTCCCATTCCGTGTGGGTATCTGTAATGGCATGCGCCTGAATCGGGGCACATGGCATGCCAGATGCAGTGCTCGGGGCTCGCTGGCAGATCGCGTCGGCATCGCGGGATCTGGGCCATGGGTCGTCACCCTTTCTATCCTGCGGGAAGGTAGGGACGGTTGAGCAGAGCACCCAAACCCGCCTTCCCAAAACTCATCGCCGACAGAAGCTCGGGGAGCGCACGCAAAAGATGCAAAACTTGTATCCTAGGACTCAAACGGCAGATGAAGGTTAGCTTTACAAGGAGATAACAGGGGAGTGATCCCCTGTGGCTGATCCCCTGGCATGAGTACCAGGCCCACTGAGCGCCGATCATGTCAGACACAGAGGCGATACGTCACGTACCGCCCTGCTGTCTCGGAGGGCCGCACGATGCGCACCACGCCCCCGCGCTGCACGCCATAGTATCTGGCCACGGGGTCATTGAACTGAATTCGGGGCAGCTGCGTGTCCTTGACCTGCCAGGAAGGGGGGAGTACGGGCTGGGGGTGTCAGAATGCACATCCAGGGGTTGGGCATGGACAATCCAAGCCAGCCGAGCTCAGGCGCCCAGGTCAGGGGCGCTGCACCCACCTTGTAGCGTGCCAGTAGTGTCTTCTTCTCTTCAGCGCTCAGGATGCGATGCTCGGGCACGAGGACATGCTTGGTGATGTTGACCAGGAGCTCCTCCTCCTTGAACTGTTGGAGATGAGAACATGGCTGGGTTGGTGCTAATATATTCAAATAAAGAAAGGCCGCTCCTTTCTTCCGATGGCAAGATGCCTAATGAGCGGCAGACCTGGGTCAGACTGCAGGCACCGGCAGGAAACCCCACTTCCCTGACTCATGCCCTCCCCCCCCCTTCCTATGCCTTACGCACCAATTCTATCACGTATTTTGGCTGCATCTCCTGCAAACACTGCTTGGCAAATGGTGTCATGTTGGTCGCCACCACCATCAGCGCCCGCTGAACCCCCTCCGCCCTCATTCGCTCGGCCAGGACCTTGATGGTCTTGACGCCGACCTTGGCCTCCTCTGGGAAGAAGACGAACAGCTGGTTTGTTGGGTCGTCCTGCGGTGGAGCGTCACAGAGGGCTTGGCATGATAAGCATGTTTGGGAGGAGGGAGCTGGATCTAGGTCTCATACGCCCGCTGCACCTGTTTGGGTGCCAGGATGGTCAGGTCGTCTTTTCGGGGCTCATCCCCATACTTTTCCCGGAACTGGTCCTTTGTCATGTCCTGGTCTTCCTGCAGAGGGGGACACGCGGAGGTGCGCCAGATGGCGATGGCTGCGTAGCTGAAGTGGGTGCCGGCACTGCGCCACTCCTTGCTTGTGCACACACTGCCCACCTGAGTGATGAGGTACCCTCGATCCCGCAGGAGTTCCATGCATGTTTTACGAATGCGGAACAACCTCGTGAGGTTATCCATATGTCTATGTCCGTGCGTGTCCCCGCCCACGGGCGAATGCGCTCGACAGAGGGCGCAGGATGGGGCGCAGTCACTCGGTGGTCCTTTGGTGTGGGAACTTGATTAGGCCGGTTTATGAGAAATGATATTATTGCAATTCTGGTGCGATGAAAAGCAAGGTGCTGCTGGCGAGCATTTTCATACGAGAAGCTGTATCGTCCTCGAGATGTGGGCGCCCTATGGCGCCCTGTCGGGGGCAAGCGGAAAATGCCTGGGTGGCCTCCACCGGCATATGCCCCAGGAATAACAGCGTGACATGCAGAGCAGGACTTCCCTTCAAGATCACAAGACTGGCACACAAACATGCTGTGCGAGGGTAATCAGCCCCTGGGATGCTCATGAGGTTGTCTAAGAGCTGGCCCTTCATTGCACAGGCTCCAGTCTTTCATATGTACATTGCATTCCTTCATTGCCGGCGTGTGTCGAGCAGTCTCCCCGATGCGGCTGCTCCGGCTGCTCCTTTGGTAGCGACCGCCTCATTGCCAGCAACCGCGACGCTGGTGGCAGCCTCTGCGCTCTTGCCGACTGCGTCACCCCCTGCAGCCGCCTGGGTGCCGGCGGCCGCCTTGGTATTTGCAGCCGCCATCCCGTCCGCGGCCGCCGCATCCTCGGCGGCCGCCATGCCGATCGCCGCGTTGCCAGCCGCGTTCCCGGCTGCAGCAGCCGCAGCCTTCCTGGCCGCCGCCGCCGCGCCCCCCGCCGCCGCCGCATCCACGACAGCCGCCGCCCCTCCCCCGGCCCCGGCCTGTGCAGCGGCGCCGTCCTCCACCGCCACGGCCCCCGCGCTTAGCCCCCGCCCGCCCCTGATGGCCAGGGGCAGGGCGTCCAGCGCCTTCCGCCGCTCGGCCTGCAGCGCAGCGGCCGTGGCGTTGTCCGCGCCGCGGCGCGGCTCCGGCATGGCCCCGCCGCACAGCCAGCGCACGGGCCGGCCCTCGTGCTGACCATGCACAACGTAGTGGCGCCAGAGCGCCGCCGCGTCGGGCAGGAGGTCCAGCTCGCCGTGCGCGGCGGCGCGGTAGTGCTTTGCGTCGAAGCAGGCGCGGCCGCGCGCGGCGGCCAGCGCCGAGGCCTGCGCGCGCGAGAGGCGGGGGCGGGGGCAGGTCCAGCGCGCGCGCCGGGCCTCGAACTGGCCCACCAGCATGTAGTGGTCGAACATGGAGAAGCCGCAGGCGCCCATGAAGCAGGAGGAGCGCAGGGCTGCCAGCGCAGGGTCAGCCGCGTAGGAGTCGTGGTCAAAGCAGGGGTCCCTGCTTTGCAACGGGGGAGGGAATGTTTCAGTGTCGGGGGATCGCAGCAGGTCCAGGGTGACAGCTGGGGACATGCCTGCGGGGCATGAGGCGCCATCCCCCAGCGCACCTGCCAATGGTCAGGACCCACCCAGATGCTTTGCTTTCCACTCCGATTGCGTGGCCCTTCAATGCCCGCCCCCCTCCCCCCCACCCCCCGACTAGAACCCCCCCCCACCCGACTAACCCTCCCATCGTGGTCTGGAGGGGCAGCGCCAGCTCGCCGCGGACGCTCCACTCCAGCTCCAGGACCTGCAGCTTCCCCACCGCCCTGCCCAGATACTCATTGCTGGTGATGTCGGGGTCCACCTGGACTAGTTGAGGGAGCGGGAGATGAGGTGGGCAGCAGGGAACGAGTGCTGGTATGATGCAGGCTGTAAGCTACGACATGTAGGCGACCGGTGCCTAAGCAGGGCACTATGCCGGGTCCGAAATGTCCAGACAATAGGTTCTTCTGCAGCTGAGTGGAATGAATCGCAGAGTGGAGCCAATGTGGCACAGCATGGTGCTCAGTGCATGGGGTGGGCAGCTCGGAAAGTGATTGCATGTTGCGTACGGCAGGAACGTGTCCCCATCCAAAACAAGGTCAGTTGCATCCTCACTGGAACACCTCGCCAGTACCCCAGCAGGCAAGCCTGCCGCTCAGCCTGGGCGATTCACCTCCTCTCCCCCCCATACACGACAAAAGCCCGCTCGCCTGGCTCCACTGGGCGTACTTAAGCCCCGACCTCAGCTCAACATAGCTCTCCGCCTGGGCCAGCGAGAAGGGCCAGAACATCACTTCGTAGGGCGTCACGGAGAGCCCGTCGTTCGACCGCTGGCGGTCTGGCGGCAACCTGGTGCGGGGAGGGGAGAGTGCGGAGGCGCGGAGAGCCATCAATGACATACACCCAGGTTCCCAGGCACGCGAGAATGGTGCTCTGGCACGCTGGCAGTACACACCCTCCCAGCTGCAGTGACTCCACCGGGACCACACCCAGATCAGCCAGCGCTTTAACGCAGCGAGCCTCGCTTTGCCGGCAGTCACCTTCTCTCTCCCCTCAGTACCCCCCCAACCCCCTCCCGCGCCCCCTTCCCACCGATCATTGCAGGCCCAGTTGCGCTCGTCCCGCCAGTCCACGCCCTGGTAGCGCGGCATGAGGCAGTCGATGGTGTGCCCCGCGTCGAAGAGTGCCGCAGCCGCGCCGAGGTCGGAGTGCCAGCGCACGTCCCAGGGGTCGGCGTGGCAGGCCATGACCCCGGCCTGGGGGCGGCTGAGCAGCGCCCAGCCCTGCGCGTCGGTGGCCCAGGCGTGCGCCGGGAGGTGGGGCTGCCGGCGCCAGTCCCCCGCCACATCTCCGCCGCGCGGGGTTCCCTCGCAGCTGATGGCGGGGCCCACCATCCTCACCCGCTCGCTCAGCCGCGCAAGCAGCGGCTCCGTCCAGTGCAGGTGGGCCCGGAGGTGGGCAGGCAGGAAGGGGCCGGCGGTACCAGAGTCCACCACCACGACGTACGTGCTGGCGGCCAGGTCCGAGGCCAGGAGGGGCAGCGCCGCGCCCAGCACGCCCCAGGTGGAGGCCTGGCAGGCACCCTCCGGCAGCTCCACCCAGCTGGCGTTGCGAGGCAGGGGGGCCAGGCGCGGGGCCAGCAGGTGGCGCGTGCCGCGCGGCACCAGCAGGCGCGCCGCCACGCCGTCGCCGTCCTGGAGCGCGGCGCGGACAAACAACGCGGCGCGCGCGGCGTGCTCTGGTCCCCGCGTGTGGTGGTAGACGTAGAGGACCAGCGTGCCGTTGCGGGCGGCGGGCATGGCGGGCTGCAGGCGGGGGCCGAGCAGCGGCCAGGCGTCGCCGGGTGGGGGAGGGGGGGCCACGGAGGACAGCAGCCTGTCCTCGGCGGCGAAGCGGGCCGCCAGGTCGGCGCGCGCGGCCCTGCCCGGCAGAGAAGCGTTGGCCGAGGGCTCGGCGAGGTCGAGGAGCGGGGGGGGGTGGGGGGGGTGCCGACGCCGCGCCCCGGCTGCTCCCACCAGGCGTAGAGGGCCAGGGCCAGGCCGGCGGACAGGAACAGGCGCCGGGTGTACCTCCCACGCGGCGTATGCTCGTTCCGCATCCCGACGGTCAACTGGTCGCTGGATAGACTCGGATCAACATCGGACGGCGGAGTGGGGTCAGGAGTGTGCCCGTTCTCGTGAGGGCAAGGGGGTCCGTTCGCAGGAGCACAGTGTCGGATTGGCGTCTAAACCATCGCCGGCCACAAGACAGAGATCTGTTGCCCCTGAGCACCGCCAAAAGCCACAATAGAGGCTGGGAAGCGCGCTGCCCAGGGAAGCGATGGGATGGGAGCTCGGGCTACGGCACCGGGTAGCATTCAACAACTGGGGCGGTTAAGGAGAGAAAAGTCTAAGCTGGATTTCGGGGTGACCTCCTTGAATAACCATGCGATGATGCAAGGGCATTTTGTTGTCAGCCATGGGAGCGAGTGGGGTGCATGCCCTGGCTCCCCCTGCAGGCTCCCTGGTTCGAAAGCTGCGCTCCGTGTGCTGGGACTGATCGGGGGTGCTAGCCCCACCTCCCTCGACTTTGCATGATGCTGGGACCCGCACTTGTGAGTCTTCTTCAATCCCTTTACGTATTGACGCTCATTCACTACCATGAGACATCTTTGAGGACGGTGCTGGAGGCCTTCACCCTTCCTTGGGCGCACCATCGGCACTCGGGAGGGCCATGGCCCCCGCCAGCCGGCCCAACGGCAGCGATGCCCCTGAGAATGGCATCGACAGCCTGCTGCCAGACGAAGCGGATCTCCTGTATGAGGAAGAGCTGCTGCGCAACCCCTACTCCCTGCGCATGTGGGTTCGGTACCTGGATGCCCGGAAGAGCGCCCCCACCCTGAAGCGGCGCCTGCTGTATGAGCGTGCCCTGGAGAAGCTGCCTGGCTCCTACAAGGTGCTATGGCGTGGAATGATGCCCCGCATGCGGGGAACGTGGGGTCAGGAGCGGTGGGCAGTGGTGTTGAGCAGGGTCGCAGGAGTTCTTGCGGTGTTGCCTCGATGCAGGGAGAATGCTGTGCCCTGCATGTACCACAGCCGGAGCGAGGCCCATCTGTAGCCGTCCAATGATGCTCACTGTCTGCCAGGAAAAGGGTCCTGGGATCCAGCCCGGCTCACTTTCTGTGCCTGTAGCATGTGCCCGACCTTTGGCCCCCCCCACCCCACCCCACACACACCCCACACACACCCCACACACACGCATTCACGCCCCCTTCCCCCTGTCTCCCCCGCCCCCAGCTGTGGCATGCGTACCTCCAGGAGCGGCGGCAGGAGGTGCGCGACCTCTCCCCCGCCCACCCGGCCCTGGAGGCTCTGAACAACGTGTACGAGCGCGCGCTGGTGTCCATGCACAAGATGCCGCGCATCTGGGCCGAGTACCTGGAGTTCCTGGTCCGTCAGGCCTGGGTCACGCGGTGCCGCCGCGCCTTCGACCGCGCCCTCATGGCGCTGCCGGTGACGCAGCACGCGCGCGTCTGGCCCGCCTACCTGGCCTTCATCTCGCACCGCGGCACGCCACAGGAGACCGCGGTGCGTATATACCGGCGCTACCTGCGCTTCGAGCCCGCGCACGCCGAGGAGTACGTGGCCTACCTCACGACCCACGGCCGCTGGGGCGAGGCCGCCGCGCGCCTGGCCCTCCTGGTCAACGACGAGGGCTTCCGCTCGCTGGAGGGCAAGTCCAAGCACGCGCTGTGGCTGGAGCTGTGCGACATCATCACCCGCCACCCGCAGGAAGTCAAGGGCCTGAAGGTGGACGCCATCCTACGCTCCGGCATCCGCAAGTTCACCAACGAGGTGGGGCGGCTGTGGACCTCGCTGGCCGACTACTACATCCGCAGGGGGCTCTTCGAGCGGGCCAGGGACGTGTACGAGGAGGGCCTCACGTCAGGTTGGTGGGGGGTGGGGGAGGAGGGGGAGAGGGTGTCGGGTGCTGACCCCTGGTGGTGTGAAGGGGGAACAGGGGGGGGGCCCTTGGAACCCCTTCAGGACCTCCAGGAAGCCCACCCAGTGTTCCAAGGGAAGGGACTGACGTGGCACTGTGCCTCGGCGCCAGACCCTGGACACCAATGAGATGTCATCATGCCGTTCCATTGCCGCTCGCCCTCGTGCTCATCGTGAAGCTCTCCCCACCTCCGCACACACTCCCAGTCGTGACGGTGCGAGACTTCTCGCTCGTGTTCGACGCCCTGACCCAGTTTGAGGAGTCGCTCATCTCCGCCAAGCTGGAGCAGGTGGGAAGTGAGGGGGAGATAGCTTATTTGGGGGGTTGGGGGCTGATTGCATGCAACGGACCTGGGCTGGATGCATAGCCTGGGGAATGAACTTCCAAACGAGGCTGCGACGTTGTGCTCCTTCGATGTCAGACTATGGAGGAATTTGGGCGGTCGAATGTTCACGCACATGTACTTGATATCGGGGGTAACTGAGCCGAGAGGCAAAGGCGGTTGCCCTGTGCACTGCAAGTCCAAAGTGCAATCACCCCTCCCTCGCGCCCCGCATCCAACCACCCACATCCAACCTCACCATGCTCTCCATCGGTGGCAGGAGGGCGAGGGGGAAGAGGAGGAGGACCCGGCGGCGGCGGGGGACGGCGACGACTTCTTGCTCACCGACACCGGCGCCGACCTTGACCTCCGCTTGGCCCGGCTCGAGGCGTTGATGCAGCGCCGCCCCGAGCTGCTGTCCTCCGTGGTGCTGCGCCAGAACCCGCACAACGTGCACGAGTGGCACAAGCGCGCCAAGCTCTTCGCAGCCGACCCCACCAAGCAAATCCTGTGCTACACCGAGGCTGTGCGCACCGTCGACCCGGACAAGGTGAGTTGGGCGTGGAGGCGCGGAGAAGGGATGGGGGAGTGGAATCCCTTTCCCCCTAGGTGCATGTGTGCCGGAACGTCGTCGCCAAGGTCACCCTGGCCCTCTCAGCTGCCTGAAGCCCTCCCCATTCACACACACATCCCAGGCGGTGGGGAAGGTGCACAGCCTCTGGGTGGCTTTTGCCAAGCTGTACGAACAGCACGGCGACCTCGCCAACGCCCGCTTCATATACGGCAAGGCGGCCGAGGTTAGTGTGTGGGCTTTGCGAGGAGGATGGTGGATTGAGATGGCGCGGGGATGTGCGGGTTCGGGTGCTCTGCGGCTGGGCAAATGGCGTGCAGCGTGCGGATCGCAAGGTGGCCGGACAGGGGGTGTTGCATCTTCACCCGACACACAGTAGGAGTCCCGGCACCTACAGCCCGAGGATTAGGGTTTGCTTTGACCCGCCACAACCCACAACCCCCTCCCCTCCAACCTCCCAGGTGCCGTACAAGTACGTGGATGACCTGGCCACCATCTACTGTGAGTGGGCCGAGATGGAGATGCGGGCCAAGGCCTACAAGAAGGCGCTCGCCCTCATGCGCACGGCCACCACGCCGCCCCAGCGGCCGCGCACGCGGGAGGTAGGGACGCTCGGCAGTTGGGGTGGGGATGCACATTGGGCACCAGGATCCCTCGCGCCTGGCACTCGTTCCCCTGCTGTGAAGAGCGCCTGGCGCCCATATGATGTGGCAGGGTTCTCATGCTGCCCTGGCAGCAGGAACCCGTAATGAAGCTTCCCGGCCCGGGCAACCACTGACGCTACCCCCACCACACACACACGCACACACCAACAGGAGGAGAACAAGTTGCCGGTACAGGAGCGGCTGTACCGCTCCCTGCGCCTCTGGTCCCTGCTGGTGGACCTGGAGGAAAGCCTGGGCGACCTGGCCTCCACCCGCGCGGTCTACGAGACGGTGCTGGACCTGAAGATCGCCACGCCCCAGATTGTGCTCAACTACGCCGCCTTCCTGCAGGAGAGCAAGTACTGGGAGGACTCCTTCAGGCATGTGGGCGGAGGATCTGTGGGAAGGAGGGGGGTATGGGTGTTAAATAGGGGGAGCACCGTCCGGCTTGGGTGAGCATTCCCTCGTGCCTGACGCTAGTTGAGCCTGGGACGGGCGTACAGGCCCTGAGAATCTGCCCCCCTTTCCCCCCCGACCGTCCTCCTGGCACCCTGCCCTGACCCACTCATCCCACCGCGCACTCCATGCAGGGTGTACGAGCGTGGCGTGGCGCTGTTCAAATACCCGCACGTCAAGGACATCTGGCAGGCCTACCTGGCCTTCTTCAACCAGCGATACGGGGGAAAGAAGGTGGAGCGGGCACGCGACCTCTATCGCCAGGCCATTGACGAGGTGGGAGGTTTGTCAGGGTTTTGAGGGAGACTGGGGGACCTAGAGTGTGATGGACCTGAGGCATCGGATGCCAGGGCGTGGCAACAGGTGATGGCTGGGTCCCGCAGCCCAACATCCCGGCGTGCTCGTCGACTTCGAGCCTCGGCCAAACACTACCTGGGCTGACTGCCTGAGGCCTCGCTTCTTGTAGCCGTTGATGGAACTTCTTGGCGGTGGAGGCTCCAAGAGCTGGCAGGGTGCTCTGAGACCCCATGGTGGCCGCGGATCCCTGGCTTTGCCGCTCCGTGACCTGTGGTCAAGCATACAACCCTCCCACCCACTGCAGGCTCCGCCAGAGGAGAGCAAGCCGCTGTTCCTGCAGTACGCTGCCTTTGAGGAGAAGCATGGCCTGGCGCGGAATGCCATGCAGGTGGGTGCTGGCGTGCAGCTGTCCTTCTTGACTGGTAGGGTCGTCAGCCGGGCACGCTCTGCACATGAGCCGTGGCATCCCCCTCGTGGTTTCAGCAGGTGCTGTATTGTGTGGGCCCCACTCCCCTTTTCCTTTTGTAGATCTACGAAGAAGCCGTTCAGAAGGTGCCAGTCGGCGAGCGCCTGTCTGTGTACGATGTCTACCTGGCGCGGGCCTCAGAGTTCTTCGGCATCGGCAAGGTGAGGCAGGGGAGCGGGTTTCGAGCCCGTCGTGGGAGCAGGGGTCTGCTCGCCTGGAGGGAACATGGCAGATGAGCGATGTGGGCTGCCGCCTGTGGCCGGGGAAGGGGTTGGAGGTGCGAGCACTGGCGTGTGCTTCACCCAGCTCCGCACGGGCCCTTCCCCCCGGAAGCCATCCAAGCGCTGCTCCACGCATGCACGTCCACACAACCCCCCCCCCTACAAAAACAAACAAACCTCTCCGCAGGTCCGGGAGGTGTACGAGACGGCCATCGAGGCGCAGCCGCCCTTTGCGCTGTCGGACGCCGACACGCGCACGCTGTGCCTGCGCTACGCCCACCTGGAGCAGAAGCTGGGGGAGGTGGACCGCGCGCGCGCCATCTACGTGCACGCCTCAGCCCTGGCAGGTTTGTGGTCGTGGCTGTGAGCACGGGGGCTGGAGGCTCGCTCCCCGCGCGCACACGCTCGCGAGGACGGCGTGGGAGCCAGCCGGCCTGTCGCGGGATGGGGTGCTGGAGCCAGACCGCGACATCTGGGCCCTCCAGCATCACGATCACCCTTTCTTCAGGCCCTCAGCGCCCTCCGATCACGCCCCGACCCCACCGCCCCTCGACCACTCCCCCCCCCCCCCCCTCCCGCACACGCAGACCCGCGCCGGGACGCGGCCTTCTGGAGCGACTGGAACGCGTTCGAGGTCCAGCACGGGCACGAGGAGACCTTCAGGTGGGTTGCGGGGCGCGGGGGGGGAGGCAGGGGTGGTCGCGCGCGGGGCGTGCGTGCGTTGCAGCGAGGGGCCTGGGGGGGCTTGGCTGCACGGACCCACTGGGCAGCCTCGCCACCGGCGTCCAACCCCCCTCCTCGCCTGCCCTGCGCAGGGAGATGCTGCGCATCAAGCGCTCCGTGGCTGCGTCCTTCTCACAGACCCACTTCAACACGACCGTGGTGGACGCCGTGGCGGTGGCGGCCAAGGCCATGGCGGCGGGGGGCGCCCCCCCCCCGGCCGTGGACGACATGGCGGCCCTGGAGGCGGAGCTGGCGGCCGAGCCGGCGGGGGGTACCAGGCTCCCGGGCTTCGTCTCGGCAGGCGTCATCCAGCAGGGGGATGCCGGGCAGGAGGGTGGGGAGGCGGCAGCGGCTGCCGCCGTCAATCCGGAGGACATCGAGCTGGACGAGGAGGAGGAAGAGGAGGGGGAGCCCGCCGCACTGGAGCTGGAGCAGAAAGAGGTGCCGCAGGAGGTGTTTGGCAGCCTCGCGCCCCCTGCCAAGAAGTCACGAGTGGATGCCTGACTGCACACCTGTCGATGCGCAGCCTGAGATGAGAGGCAGGTGGAGGGTACCCAGCCAGGGGCGTGGGTTCCGTCCCAGCTGCCCAGATGAGAGTCGAGGGAAAAAGGCGCGCCCCGGCTCATTGACCGCGAAAGTGTGCCCTGCTTCCCGTGCCCGCCAAGCCCCGCGAGGGAAAGGCATCACCCAGCGACAATCTGTTCGAATCCGTGGAGCATCACCCGCGTGCATCGCCAGAGCTGGCATCGGGTAGGGCCCCCTCACGACGAACCGCTCCCCCCCAAGAGAGTCGGTAGTCACCACCCCTGATCTGGAGGGCACATGCCCATTGAGTGCTTGGCTTGCAGGGAAGCCCTCACTCAGCCTTGCCGCACGACTGGGCACCCGAGTCGCCGCTCCTCTTCATCCATTCTGGGGCCGTGTGCGTTGAGAATGTCGTAAGGACCCGAGGGGGCCCAGCACCGCATCGCAATGTCCTCCATATCGGCCCTCTTCCTCCTGGACAGCAAGGGGAAGCCAGTGCTGTCGCGGGACTACAGGTGGGAACGAGGACTGGGATCGGGGTGCCCCACCGGCGATCGCCTGACCGGATCGCTTGGCTGAGCGTTACACCTGACCCCCCGCCCACCCACATCCCAGGGGCGACATTCCCCTGAGGGCCGTGGACAGGTTCATCACCAAGCTGAATGAGGTGGAGGAGACGGGGAAGTCCAGCCCTGTGCTGGTGGACGATGGCACCTGCTTCGTGTTCGTGCAGTATAGTAACCTGTACCTCCTGGCCATGTCGCGCACCAACGTGAACGCCGCCGCCATCCTGGTGTTCCTGCACAAGCTAATCGAGATCTTCAAGCAGTACTTCACGGAGGTGGGACCTTGAGTATGGGAGGCGAATTGTCCGGTAGTTTCGGGGGGCAGGGTGGTATGGTGAGTGCTTGCTTAGCCGGCCTTGACCTGCCTGGCCGGGCCAGCTGGCAACCTCATAAGTGAAAATGTTGGCATGCTTGACCACGCACCACCAAGCCCCTTCATGCAGTTGGAGGAGGAGTCCCTGCGGGACAACTTTGTCATCGCCTATGAGCTCCTGGATGAGGTGAGTCATGTGGCTAGGCGATGCTGGCGGTTAAACTGAGGGAGGGGAAGATTGCAGTAGCATTGTGCATCGGTCTGCACCCCGCCCCTTCTTATCTTTGGATCTCTGTCGCCATGCCTGCCCCGCCCCTAGGTAATGGACTACGGCTACCCTCAGTTCACAGAGGGCAAGATCCTCTCTGAGTACATCAAGACCGACGCCCATAAGCTCGCGGTGAGTGCGCTGGGGGCCTGAGATGGTTGACGTGCGAAAGCTGCAGCGCTCGCTGCAGTGGAGGAGTGTCCATGCATGGGGCGCAGACTTGTGCATGGAGCGGGAGTCTGGGCTGTCCATGACATGCCCGCCCTCCCCCGGCCCCTCCCTGATCCAGGTGGCCGCATGAATGAGGCTCACACACTTCACACCATTCTTCCCCACCCTAAGATTCCTCACCTACCACCCTGCTCCAGATCCAGCCCCGGCCCCCCATGGCGGTGACCAACGCGGTGTCGTGGCGCACGGAGGGCCTGGTGTATAAGAAGAACGAGGTGTTCCTGGACGTGGTGGAGGCGGTGAACCTGCTGGTCAACTCCAACGGCTCGGTGGTCCGCAGCGAGGTGGTTGGCGCGCTGAAGATGCGCACCTACCTCTCCGGCATGCCAGAGTGCAAGCTGGGCCTGAACGACAAGGTTTTGTTCGACGTGCAGGGCCGGTCTGGCCGCCAGAAGGCCGTGGACCTGGAGGACATCAAGTTTCACCAGTGCGTCAGGCTGGCAAACTTCGAGCGGGACCGGACCATCTCCTTCATCCCCCCAGACGGCGCCTTTGACCTCATGTGCGTGGGCGGGGGCAACATGCTTGGAATTGGGGGGGGGGTTTGGGGTATAGGAGGGGGCAAAGGGTGTGCACTTGGGGTGTGATGGGGAGGGACCCTGGAGGCTCCCTCCGAGCCATGCGGGGTGACCCTGGGTAGGGCCGAAGGTCTGTCGAGTGCATGGATCATCAGCTCACCAAACCCATGAAAGGGGGTGTCTGCACACAGCACACATTCTCAGTACCTCCCACCACCATGAAACCCTGGAACATCACTCTGGTACCTTCCACCCACGCCCACCCGCCTCCCGCCACACCCACACACACACACATGCAGGACGTATCGTCTGAGCCAGAACGTGAAGCCCCTGATCTGGGTGGAGTGCGCCGTGGAGCGTCACTCGCGCAGCCGCACCGAGTACCTGGTCAAGGCCCGGTCCCAGTTCAAGGAGCGCAGCGCCGCGACCTCCGTGGAGATCTCCCTGCCCATCCCCGCCGACGCTATCAGCCCCACCTTCCGCACCAGCCAGGTAGGGGGCGGTCGGGCGGGCGTGAGGGGAAATGCAGCCTGCCTGTGGGCTCCCACCGACGCCTGGGCTGCCCTCTTGCGACGCTGTGAGCATCCAGACCCCCCTTCTGCCATGCCACCGTGCCCCCATGCCCACAATCGCAGGGGTCTGCCGTGTATGTTCCCGAAAGGGATGCGCTGGTGTGGAAGATCAAGAACTTCCCGGGGGGGAGGGAGTTCCTGCTGCGCTGCAAGTTTGGCCTGCCCTCAGGTGCGGCGATGCTGGAATGAGGCTTGATGAGGGTGTGCAGCTGCGTGAACGCTGCCCTCACAGCCTGCAGCACGGAGCCAGGGCCTGCGAGAGCCTGGAGGGTGCCACGTGGGCTGAGGTACCCACAAGTGTCCCTTGAACCTCGGGCCTCCTCCTCACCACCGACCCCCTCTCCCCCGCCTCCCTCTCCCAGTGGCGGCCGAGGACGAGTCCCAGGGAAGGATGCCCCCCATCAAGGTCAAGTTCGAGGTGCCGTACTTCACGGTCTCGGGCATCCAGGTGCGGTACCTGAAGGTGATCGAGAGGAGCGGGTACCAGGCCCTGCCCTGGGTCAGGTACATCACCACCGCCGGCGACTACGAGATCCGCAGCCAGGGCCCCAAGCCCACGCTCTGATGTCGTGGGATATGCGTGCGCGGAGAGTGGGTTGTGTGCCGTGTAAATAGTCACGGCAACGAACCGAGGATGAGACTCGTGTTTGAAGTGTTTGAAGGCAGCGCAGCACGCTCCGCACCCCGGGCTCCCGAGATCTGTAGCAAGGAAAAGCCTAGTGATCCAGGGCATTGGGAGCAAAGAGATGGTCCTGTCAATCGGGTAACGTCCATTTCGACCTGCACCGCATGCATGGGACGGCCTGAGGCGTGACGGCAAGGGTCGCTCGTGGACGATCGCTCGCGATGTCGTACTCGATAGACGCAGCGGTGTTCGGCAAACGCCTGCAGCTCCTGTATGATGACTGGAAGGTAAAGCTTCCATTGGTGATATGATGGAGGAAGGGCTGGGAGCGACTCCTTGTCTGTGTATGCCATCCCCTCATCGTCCACACGCCATGGCTGTGCAGACATCTCCCTCCTGGAACGGAGCCACCGCCCTGGCCATCGTCACGGGACAGCCCACGGAGGAGATCCGTTACTATACCTCCTCCAGTCTGCACCTCTGGCTGCTGGGATACGAGTTCACCGGTATGTGGCCAAAGGGGGGGGGGGGGGGGGCGACCCGCCAATCCTGACGAGCATGGCGCAGTCCGTGTGGCGCATGCAGACCGATTGCTCACGCGAGCTCCGTCAAGGAAGGCGGTCATGCTCCTTGTCATGCAGTCAATGCAGAAACTGCTCCTTCCCAGCTGGGCATGGCCTGTTTAATGTTGGATGGTATCTTGCCCCACTCCACCACAGACACCATCCTGGTGCTCACCAAGACTGAGCTGCATGCCCTGGCCGGGTCCAAGAAGACAGACCTGCTGGGCCCCCTGGCCCCGGCAGCCGAGGCCGCCGGGGTCAAGCTGGTGCTACACACCAAGCCCCGCAAGGAGGACGGCGCGGCCCAGATGCAGAGCTTGCTGGATGCCTTGAAGGGGTCTGGAGAGGTCGGGACCGTGACGGTGGGTACCCTGCCAAAGGTGAGCGCTGGATTGGCTGGGGGAGGAGCCCCTCCTGCAGTGCTCATGTTGTGATGCCGAGGCATGTGGTTTGGTGTATGGGGAACATGCTGGTGCAGCTCCACGCGAGAGGAACATCAGAGCAATGGACCCCAAAAATCCTCACATGCAACCACAGGAGAAGCCGACGGGTGCGACGGCAGAGGCCTGGCTGGCGCGGCTCCTGCAGGCCGACCTGGCCACCGTGGATGCCTCCGCCGGCCTGGCCCACGCCATGGCTGTCAAGGACGAGGACGAGGTGAAGAACGTGAAGAAGGCCGCGTTCCTGGCCAGCGGTGTCCTGACCCAGTTCATGGTCAAGGAGATCGAGGGTGGGTGGGGTTTGGGGGTTTGAGAGGGGGTGTTTAGGAGCTGAGAGCTAGTCGGGGATGGTATGTAGTTTGCGGCTTAGACCAGATGCTGGGCCCACCACTGGCGTGGCCTGGTCTTGAATTTGGACCTGCTGCGTCCTGCAATGGTGTAGGTGGTTGGCTGGCACAGAGAATGCATGGATGTTGACGTCCCAGCCCCCATGTGCGCCACTCCTCTGTCACCCACAGGCGTCATCGATAATGAGGAGAAGGTGCGACACAGCAAGATTGCGGAGAAGACGGAGGACACCATCCTGAACCCCAGCAAGATCAACATCAAGCTCAAGGTGTGGGAGGGATGACGCGGATACCTGGAGCGGATGACTGAGGAGGGATGTTGAGAGCCCAGCAGTTCCCATGGTTGCTCCCTCCGGCCCTCCTGCTGACGAGTCGCCCTGTCGCGCTTTCCCCCTCTGCCAGGCTGACGCCATCGACGTGGCCTATCCGCCCATCCTGCAATCCGGGGGGACCTATGACCCCAAGCTGTCGGCGGGCAGCAATGACGACACCCTTTCCTACGACGTGATCCTCTGCCAAGTGGGAGCGAGGTGGGTGGTGGGCATGCGATGGCCCGTGGCCTCGGTGTATTGTGATCAGGCAGGTGCAGGTGTCTCACTTTTGCTGTGATGGTGTCGGGCCACAAGTCCCAGGACTCCAAGGCCCTGGGACTCCCTGCTGACCATCACACCTGCTCACGCTCCGAGTTTATGCTTCCCTCCCGAAACACTGCGACAGGTACGCGTCCTACTGCGCCACCGTGGGCCGCACCCTCTTTGTCAACCCCACGCCGCGGCAGGAGGCGGAGTACGCGGCCCTGCGCGCCGCACACGCCGCGGCGATCGCGGCGCTGGTGGAGGGCGCGCCACTGTCGGCCGCGCACGCCGCGGCCGTGGCCGCTCTGGATGAGAGGGGCCAGGGCGCGCTGGTGGAGGCGCTGGGGAAGAACGTGGGGACGGGGATCGGGTTGGACCTGCGGGACGGGTCGTGCGCCCTCACCGCCACCGCCGCCGGCCAGGTCCGGGCAGGGACCACCTTCCACGTCGCTGTCGGTGAGCTGTGGCGGTGGCTTTGGGAGGGGGAGGTCGAGGGTGGGGGGAAGATGCAAAGGGGGAGCTGGGCCGGCATGTTTGACATGCAGAACTCATCGGAGAGGAGGGCTCCGGGTGTGCTTATGCGGGTTTTCTGAGAGGCGTCGGGTGTGCCAGCGGCAGCGAAAAGCATCACGACTCCATTCCTAGGTTGCTTCCCTTGGCTGTGAAGTCTAGAGATTGCGATGCTGCGAAGAGTCAGGGACTGGTCCAGGGTTGTCTGACTGAGCCAAGCTCAGCATCCTCCCCCCCCTGCCCCCTCCCTCGCTGCCCAGCTGCCACGGGGCTGCGCCAGCCGGCGCCGGACGGGGAGGAAGGCGCGGAGCAGACCTACGCCATCCTGCTGGCCGACACGGTGGTGGTGCGGGGCGGCGGCCAGAGCCCCGAGGTGGCCACCATCGCGGCCTCCAAGGACTGGGAGGAGGTGGCCTACTTTCTTAACGACGACGAAGAGGAGGAGGAGGCAGAGGGCGAGGGGGGGAGTGGAGGGAAGGGCGGCGGGCGCACGCTGCAGCCTCTGGACCCCCAGGACCTGGCCGGGCGCAGGTCCCAGCGCACGGAGCAGGTTGACTTCCGCCTGCGTGACGAGGAGAGGTGTGTGAGGGGGAGGGGGAGGCCTTATGGACTGTGGGCATGCACGGGTGGTGGCGCCGGGTTGTGGGTGGGGGGTCCGGTGAAAGGGAGGGGTTGACCCGCATGTGCTGCAGGCCTGAATCCAGGGGCACACCTGCGAGAGGCGGGAGGCACTGCGCTGGACGCATGCGAGGTGCCTATCCTTGTGAACCCCAGCTTTAGGGTGCTCACCCAGAAACGCTCCCTTCACGCAGGCGGCGCCAGCAGGAGAACCAGGAGGCGCTGCTGGACCGGGTGAACCAGGCCACGCTCAACATGCTGACGAAGCAGGGCGACGGCGCGGGCGGCGGCGGCAGGGCCGGACGCAAGGTCAGCGACATCGTCGCCTACGCCTCTGCCGCCGAGATGGCGACAAACGGCACGCTGACTGTGCAGGTGAGGGCCCCGGCGGTGGTGATGGCATCGGTGGGAGGGGCCGGTACGGGGTCAGGCGCAATTCTGGCAATGCATTTGGCGCAGGGTTGAGGAAGGACGCATGCCGCTGGCAGTGGGGATGCGCTTGGAAGTTGTGATTACCTGCTTGCATCACACCAGACCTTACAATCGCAGGGCTTGCCAGCACCCACCCTGTCATTTCCAGCCCCCCTGTCTGCCGTATTCTCCCTGACATCACCCGTCTCCTGCTGCAGACTGACACGCGCAAGGAGTGCATCCTGGTGCCCATCTACGGGGTCATGGTGCCCTTCCACGTGCTGACTGTGAAGAACGCAACCCTCAACCAGGTGGGTAATGGGGTTTGGTAGATGGACTGGGCACGGTGCGGAGTTGGGGAAAGTTACTGGGCTGAGATCTCTCGCTCTCTGCATGACACGAGCTCTGTGCACAGCCCCGCCTCCCCCGATCCCACCGCCCCAAACTCCAAACCCCTTTCCCCCTCACTTGTCTAGGACGGCGACCACGCCTTCATCCGCGTCACCTTCAACTACGGCGGCGCGTACGAGCCCACCGCCAAGTTCCCGGGCGCCGCCTTCCTCAAGGAGCTGACCTTCCGCAGCTCCGACCCACGCCATGCCGCCAAGGTCGTGCAGGAGATCAAGACCATGCGCAGCATGGTGCTGCAGCGCGACAAGGAGCACGCGGAGCGGGCCACGCTGGTGGCGCAGGAGCGGCTCATCCGCGGCAAGGTGCGCGTGTCGGTGGGAATGAGGGTGGGTGTGGGGAAGGTAGACGATCCACCCTGCCAGGCAGAAGCACGGATCTGGCTGTTTTGAATCAAGGTGGCTCCAAGGCTCCTCCCTCCACTTGCCCACCCAGCCTTTAGGCATCAGACCCTGCCTCCAAGTCACATCCAAAGCCTCCCAAACCTTGCAGGCGCGCGTGTATTCGCTGCCAGACCTCTGGATGAGGCCGGCGTTCGGCGGGAAGGGGCGCAAGGCGGCGGGCGAGCTGCAGGCGCATGCGAATGGCTTCCGCTACACCTCTGGGCGTGGCGAGGAGGTGGACGTCATGTACCGCAACATCAAGCACGCTTTCTTCCAGCCGGCGCAGAACGAGATGATCACTCTGGTCCACTTCCACCTCATCCACCCCATCATGGTGGGTAGAATGGGGTCCATGGCACCGGCGTGGCGCAGGGGAGTGCTTTGCGGGAGGTCCTGCTCGTCTCTACGGAGGCTGGGCGATGCAATCCAACTCATCCCCTGCTCAAGCATGTGGCGCCCTGCCAGCTGCTGATGAACCCCTGTGCCAGCACGCGTGCGAGACACCCCTCCCCGCACGCCCACGGACGGCAGGTGGGGAAGAAGAAGACGATGGACGTGCAGTTCTACACGGAGGTGATGGACTCCGTGCAGACCCTCGAGGCCGGGCGGCGCTCGGCGTGAGTAGATGTCTTCCAGGAAGGCTGGCACTGGTGGCCTCAGGGTGGCAGGATCTCGTTTCGTGCCCCTGCCCACGGACCCTGTCGTTCAGATGGGCTGCGCTTGGGGGGAAGGCAAGGAGGGTCCTGCTGCCCTGCACGCTGGAACCCGCCCGCCTCGCCAACACCCTCTCTCACCCTGGGCATGCTCAGGCACGACCCCGACGAGATCGAGGACGAGCAGAGGGAGCGGGAGCGCCGCAACCAGATCAACCACCAGTTCTCACAGTTCGTGAAGCGGGTGCAGACCAACATCTGGGAACGCGAGTTCCCGTGAGTGCGTCCTGCATTCGACTCGTATTCATTCAGGACAGGGTGTTGCGTGGACTGCGCTGCTCCAACGGCGGTTTGCCGGTGCCGACATGTCCTGGGCTGGCACCCTATGCTCAAGCACCAACCCTTCCAA